TCGAGTTCTTCCACTCCAACCTTCACACACCGTGTCTTCATGGAGCTCGCTTTGTGCACAGGAGCATCGTCATGCTGTCATGCAGGTTCTAGTGTCTTCGTTCCAGTGAAGGGAAATTGTAATGCTACAGCATACAAAGACATTCTATACAATTGTGTGCTTCCAACTTTGTGGCAACAGATACGTATGCATTTATTTATTTTATTTTATTTTTTTAATTACCCTACACAGGCCAGAAGAGGGCACTGCAACACTGGCAGAGAAGCAGAAGGAAAGAACAGACATGTAATGCAGAGGATTAGAAAAGTAAGTTGGGGTTACAGGTATGCTTACCTGTGGCCTGCCAGAAAGTAATCTTAATAATTAGGTCTCTTTTAATATGCTTTGTGTGTGTGTGTGTGTGTGTGTGTGTGTGTGTGTGTGTGTGTGTGTGTGTGTGTGTGTGTGTGTGTGTGGTTCTTCAACAAACGCACAGGTCTGCAAAGAAAATGCGATTTCATTAGACATGCATCAATACCATGTTTTTTTTTGTTTTTTTTTTCCAGACAGATTACATGTTTTTGATTGATCCATATTGCTCATCCAAATTAGTATTAAATAAATATTAGTATTATTCATTCTGGGATGTCACAGAACATCAGTACCAGTGCTGGTACTGGAGAGCGGCCTGATACTGTGTTAGTTTACTCGTAAAAATAGTCGGATACTGACATCTGATACCAGGTGATACTACATGAGGTAAGCCTAGTGTATGTTGTCAGTAATGAGCAAACAACATGAAATGAGAGTGACCTGGAATTATCTCACTATTAATGATGGCAAGTAAAGCAAAGCAAATTGCAAAGTTCTCTCTGTGAAAACATCAAGAACAGCATCTTCCTACAGTACAAGTAAACCAATAAAACATCATAGACATAAAACACAGCATGAGCAAACGCTGTCTGAGCAAGGAAAAAAAAAGTCTACAGGCGATGCGAGGTGAGTGGGAAAAATAGCAGCTCTTGTCCAGTATGTTGTTCTTGATGATAAGCCATTATCAGCCATTGACAACAAGGGATTCCAGCGCAATGAAAACAAAAATGTTCTTTACTTGCAGCTGTACAGAAGTGCTTTTCCAAAGAGGAACAAGTCCCACTCCCTTTTACTGCAACCTTACCCAATCCAACATACTCTACATGACCAAAAGTATGTGGACACCTGACCATGACCCCCAAATGTGGTTCTGCCACAAATTTGGAAGCACGTGATCTGTCTAGAATGTCTCTGTATGCTGTAACATTACAATTTCCCTTCACTGGAGCTAAGAAGCCTAAACCTGTTCCAGCATGACGATGCCCCTGTGCACAAAGCGAGCTCCAGGAAGACATGGTTTGCCAAGGTTGGAGTGGAAGAACTCGAGAGCCCTGACTTCAGCCTTCAGTGAAGACCTTTGGGATGAACTGGAACACCACCTTGCCTGACACCAGTGCCTTATTTCACTGTTCTTGTGGCTGAATGGGCAAGAGCAAAAGGGGGAGTAAATCTGGAATGGGATTTTCAACACGGACATATGGTTGTGTCGCTCAGGTGTGCACATACTTTTGGCCATATAGTGTAAATAATGGAGCTAGCTAATGCAATTCACTTAAAATCATCTCTCTAACGCTATAAAGAACAAGTCTAGTAGCCTAAGCTTATGAACCCAGGTGGAGCTGCGTGAATACTCAAGGCAATGGAGTTAACCCACATAGGTTCCTGAGGTTATGGTTAGATGTTGGTAACTCAGCATTATTTAGCTACTACTGTATAGTGACACAGTATATGGTACCACAGGTATGGGTGGCAGACTTGGACCTCACTTTGAACCATCAATCCAACGTGAAATTGTTCACCACCAGAGTCAGCTGGTTCAGCATTCAAACTTGGTGGCCTTTTGTTTTTTCCCCCCCCACATCTGAGACATGGCTGGGCTTGTGTCCAGTCCCGTAGTAAACAGGTGTGCAGTTGTCAAAACACATTCCATTTTACGCAGTGTTGTGCTTTTCCGTTTTCCCAGAATATAAACTGGGATCTATAAAAAAACCAACACATTGGGTTCAGATCCTCTAGTGTTTGCAGCTGTAGCATGTATGTGAACTGAATTCTTTATATTCGACACACATCTCCTACCTCGAGAACTATCCTTCCCCACAGAAATCGCTTCTTACTTCTCTAGCATTCTTTTGGCAGAACATTACACACTCTAAGGTTTATTAGAATTTTAATGAATATTGTTGTCAAGCGCTTTCATTCTTGTTTTTAAGACTCGCTTATATGAGCGTTTCAAAAAGCCAAACCACAAACAGTTTTTTCCTTGCTTTTGTTCACACACACACACCAAAATGATCATGTAACAGCACTGTTTTCACACCAATTTGTCTTTGATTTCATTTCTCCCTTCATCTCCTGGTGCTGAGCAGAATCCTGTCGCTTGATGTGTTCTAGCTGTTTCCACCAATCGGTTGCGCTTCCTTGATGACCCGGCTGGATTCACTGGACCTGCTAGTCTGAAGAGTCGAATGCTACAAGGAAGTCACTTACAGAGAGTTTTTTTTTTAGTAGACTGATCTTTTTTTTTATTTTTTTTTTTAAATATGATACTTCTTTTGTTCTCTCAAAATTCATACTGTGGTGTTCAACAAAAACTTTATGCGCTGCATCTGGACGAGCACAGGCAGAAAATGCCAACAAGTTCCCTATACAAAGAAATATAATCATTTTAGTTTACTTGAAGCCAGCTTATAATGAAAGTCCAAGGCTAGCTATTGGATTTCCTGAATTCTACACATTCACAAAGGTATTTGTGAATGTATATAGTTCGTCTTTTGGGACATGCAGAGCTGCCAACATTGCTAACAAGAAATCTTACTTCAACATCCATAGCATTGACTTGATTTGATGCTAACAGCACATACAGTTGAGGTCAAAAGGCTGCCCGCTGCTCCGGGTGTGTGTGTGTGTGTGTGTGTGTGTGTGTGTGTGTGTGTTCACTACTGTGTGTGCGCACTTGGATGGACACAATTCCGACACAAATTCCGAGTATGGGTCACTTCATATCTGACCACAAGTCACTTCACTTCACTTCAGAATCTGCAAAATGTTAATTATTTAGCCAAAATAAGACGGATCATACAAAATGCCTGTTATTGTTTATTTAGTGCTGACCTGAATACGATATTTCACATAAAAGATGTTTACATTAAGAGCCGGGGGGGTGAAAACTTTTTGAATTTGAAGATCAGGGTAAATGTAACTTATTTTGTCTTCTGGGTAACATGTAACTATCTTCTGTAGCCTCTGAAGGGCAGTACTAAATGAAAACATATGATATTTAGGCAAAATAAGAAAAAATGTACACACATCCATTCTGTTCAAAAGTTTTCACCGCCCCTGGGTCTTAACGCATGGTTTTTCCTTCTGGAGCATCAGTGAGCGTTTGAACCTTCTGCAATAGTTGCATATGAGTCCCTCAGTTGTCCTCAGTGTGAAAAGATGGATCTCAAAATCATACAGTCGTTGATGGAAAGGGTTCAAATACACAAAAATGCTGGAAAACCAAAGAATTTGTGGGAGCTGAAGGATTTTTCTGAAGAACAGCAGGCAGTTTAACTGTTCAGGACAAACAAGGGACTCATGAACAACTATCACTAAACAAAAAAACACAGCTGTGGATCATTCAAGTAACAACACAGTATTAAGAATCAAGTGGATGTAAACCTTTGAACGGAATTTTATAAATTCAACTATTATTGTCTCTTGTGGACTATAGTAAACATCTTTTATGTGAAATATCGTATTCAGGTCAGCACTAAATAAACAATAACATGCATTTTTTATGATCGCTCTTATTTTGGCTAAATAATTAACATTTTGTAGATTCTGAAAGGGGGATGTAAACTTTTGACCTCAACTATATGTATAAAACAGGTACGGGTAGAACTGATGTTTAACACAAAGCACATTTTAATCTGCGTTTCACAACAATGGCCTGTTTATTCACAAAGAAAGGCCAAGATCCCTTTTGTTTTCTGTTGACTCGTTAGACTGAAGTTTGCAAATCCGGAGGCCCTTTTAAGGGAAACTAATCACGCACTCGACTTGTGACCCGATTGGTCCTGAAATAAAACAGCAATTGACATCATTTGCTGTTTTATCATTTTGGTTTATTTGTAAGCATAGCAGGAGAGCAGGATGGATCGTCTGCAGGCAAAGCTGTTCTCGCTCTCGTTGTCCTCCTGCTCTCTGCTCCACAATCGTCCCACAAAATCAACCTCATTCATCAGTTCCCAGGAGCGAGGAACTAATTGACTTCGCCTTTAGATTCCCTTGAGGCAGTGTGCTAAGACAATGAAGGAAAGCTTTGTCCTACACACTGTCTTTGCCAAGCTTGTGCCCATGCTCTTATACGGAGGGAAATGAATCAGCTCTGTGTCTTATCTTGCTCTCGCTAATTCGTTCAGCTTTGGCAGAGTCTGTGATTTGCTTGTGCTGTAGGAAGACGCTGTAGTTCCTGCGCTTGATGGTTTCACAGAGCACAGTTTGCAGTCTGCTTTGTTTGATTGCTGTCATTAATCGGGAATAATATGTCCACATCACTGGCATTTTGCGTCGTCTGTTCATTAGCATGACAACGTTTACCGTGTCACATAGCATCACCTGGTAACGGATGCTTCGATGTATTACAAGTATAATAGGAGCTGATGTATCTCCTAGAAGTACAATAAGAGAGGACTGGTATTCAATATGACTACGACATTGAGATATTGTCCATAATTTAATATTCACTAAAAAAACAATTAAAAGATACATATGAAAGTTGTCGTTCTTTCAGATGCTCCTGTTAAGGGTCGCCACAGCAGATTGTTGGTCCGCATGTTTGATTTAGCACAGGTTTTACGCCGGAGGCCCTTCCTGATGCAATCCTCTCATTTTATCCAGGCTTGGGTCCTGCATTGAGCGTACACTCCTAGTGGCTGGGTTGGTTCCCTGCCTGGGAATCGAACCCGGGGCCGTAACAGTGAGAGCGTGGGAGCCTTAGACGCTAGACCACCAGGGACCCAATGATACATATAAAAGTAAAAAATACATATTCATAAATTAGCATAGAATCCATTCTGGATATAATAGCATAAACAGTTCAGACAGGTATTTTTAAAGGTCTTTCTGTGCGTTTGTGTGATTGGGTTTCCTCCGGGATCTCCAGTTTCCTCCCAAACCCATTCCAGTAGATGGATTGACCATGCTAAAATACCCGTAGGTGTGAAATAGTGTGTGAATGTGTGTGTTCATGGTGCCCTGAGATGAACTGACATTCCATCCAGGGTGTATTCCCACCTCGTGCCTAGCATTCCCGGGACAGGCCCCACCTCCACCGTGACCCTGACCAGGATGAATGAATGGATGAATGAACATGATCTTATGATCTTTCTAGACCTACTGACCCCAAATGTGGTTCTTCCCCAAACTTTTGCCACAAAGTTGGAAGCATGTGATCTGTCTAGAATGTCTTTGTATGCTGTAACAACATTACAATTTCTCGTCACTGGAGCTAAGAAGCCCAAACCTGTTCCAGCACGACAATGCCCCTGTGCACAAAGCGAGACATGAAAACATGGTTTGCCAAGGTTGGAGTGGAAGAACTCGAGTATAATAATAATCATGCAATTTCAAAGATACCTTAGAAAAACGGGCTAGTCTCTTTATTATAGCCATCTTGTTCAATTCTTCTGGCCCAGCAATTTGCTCCGCCCATATTTGACATGCTCGTTTCTTTACACGTCCTCTTATTTATGCTTTCTCTCTTCGCCCTTGTGCTACGTGTTTTTAATACCTGATTCTGGTCTGAATTACGTCTACAGTGTGTTCACTGCACTGATACAGCAGGCCATTAAACCCGGTCCAGCTCCAGCTTCCTGCTATATATGAGCGCAATTTAAAGCCCGAATCTGTAATTTCAGTTTTATGGATGGATCAGTTGTCATGGCCACGTGGTACTTAGGTGTTCGAGCTGCGAGGGATCACTTAATCCGGTATTCCGCCTGTCAGGGTTCACTCATGCTCGGAGAACAGAGCATTTGTCATCTCTCTGTCCTATTTTACAGCCAATAACCCAGCTGTCCCATAAATAATGAGTGAGTCTTCTGCGCACTAGCGGGAAAAGCAGCTCCGTTTTTATACGTCCTGGTGTGCAAACATGGAAAAAGAATAAGACGGACTCCCGAGATTCATATTTATTATTTTCATATAATTGCTGTTATCATGCTGTTTTAGGGAAATGATCAATGACTGAGTGACGTGATGCCACCCGGACTATTTTCCTATAACAGCACGCCTCGAAATGTTTTACATTTTTGCCAACAATTACATTTTATAACATTTCATTAATTAAAGAATGACATGTTGTACTTTGTATCCATTTATAGTTACATTTAATGTTATGTAACTTCCACGAAACAAGTTAGTTCCTGTCATCACTTGCATTTATAAAAACTACAGACAGTCATTCCATCACCAGCCTCTCTCTTTTTTTTTATTTCTTTACAAAAAATAAAAATAAACAGCTTGTCGCGTTACTGAGAGACTGGAAAGTGCAACCTCCTCGGTCCTGATGACTTTCCAGTGGTGGAAAAACTTACTGACACTGGAGACTCCTTCCAAAAATGCTAAATAAGCATCCTCAGAAATGTATACAAATATGCTAAACAACACCAAATGTTTATTATTAGACTTCGATTATATGACATGTCCTCCATACAAGTTCCTGTGAGTGAGTCGTTGCTATAGAAACAATGGCATAGCAGAGCAAGCGCATTAATATAAACCTGTGATTTGCCTTGCAGGCAGAGCTTCTGTTAAGGGAAATTAATCATCACCTTCTGACCAATCAGATTTGAGATTCATTAACTCCCAGCTTACTAAATCTTTACACAGTACGCAGGATACAGTAGAAGGTTCTCACATGTGTGTACTGCAAACAGCTTGTGCTCTTGTGTAGTTTCTAAAAATAATCCCTATTCCAGCTATAATTAGCTTGGTGATTTATCAAATTAGCACGTCGTTTTGGGGGTCATCCAGGAAGTTAGCCTCGGCCCTGATGGTCATCACCCCTCCCCCAGGGTGTGTGGTAATTGTCTCCAGGCAACAGTGGCATATAACCTGAAGGTTACTGCCAGGTCCAATGAGATCGCAGATGCCAGCCAAGGGCCAAGAAATCATAAATCAGCCTCCTTTTATTACCCGTATCCCCACACGCTCACAACACCTCTCTCTCTCTGTCTCTCTCTCTCTCTCTTCTCATTTCACCCTCCTAGAATGCAGCGTCCTCAAACGCATGGAGATCAGAGTAAATCACTCCGTTTTTATTGTTCTCTCCCTCTGCCCTTGTGCTCTTCACACCGCAGTCCTTCTGCTTTGCTGCAGTGCTCTGTAATGGGCCAGCAGTGTGGGCAGAATAGACTTAAAAAAAAAAAAAAGGAAATCCATTACATTTAAAAGAGAGGCTCTAATCTGTAGACACACATGCATCTAAAAGATGCATTAAGAAATCTTCACATGCATGTATATTTACGAGATGTGTGACATGCTGTTACTGACAGTATTTTAAAGATGCAGGCACAGTCTTTATTCTGAACCACTGAGTCGAAATACCGGGAAGTGTTAGTGTACCAATTACACTCAAATTGTATTTAAGTGTATTTCAGTGTATTTGATACACTAGCATTACTCAGTCGTTTGGGTAATTTGATAAGATTTCACAGATTTTATCCTGCTATCAAGCAAACAGATTTTTGATTCTGCATCCAGAGCAATATGGGGCTCTAATATTCATGGAAATGTCTCACTGTTGCATTGTATAGTGGTGATAATTATAATGATTATGCAATACATCTTCATACAGCTTTATAGAGAAAAGATTTCAATTTGAAAATTCAAAAGGCAAGGCAAATGTTAACCGCTGTGTATATATATATATTGCATTTGAAATGTTTCACTCTTTAAAGACTTTACGCTGTCATGCATCTTTGCCAAAACAAAAAAAAGGAATACTGAAATCTTAAGGTCACCCAAATGTAGCTGCTTAAATAACAGTTAAAAGCCCAGATTATATCGAAAACGTGTTACTCGCATGTCTGTTATGATGATGTCACCAAATGATACCTCGAATGATTGTTGAATTCTCGAATATGATTGGTCAGAAGGTGCTTATTTATTTCCTATAGCAGTAATGCAGGCTTGCAATGCAACTCACTAGTATGTACAGCGGATATAAAAAGTATACACGCCTCTGGTAAAATGGCTGGTGTTTGTGATGTAAAAAAAAAAAAGAAACCAGGATGAATCAGAAGTTTTTCCACCTTCGATGTGAAAATTGAAACCTAACCAAATAGAAATAGAGGAAAAAAAGAAAGAAAAAAAACACTTACAATGACCTGGGTGCATAAGTGTGCACACCCCTAAACTAATACCTTTTGATTTCATTACAGCACTCCAGTCTTTTTGGGTAAGAGTTCTGCCATTGAAGATGATGATGATGGTGGTGGTAGCATCATGTACTCATCGTGGTTTGCTTTTTAGCAGGAGGAACTGGAAATCTTGTCGCTCTCAAAGGCAGCATGGATGGTGCCAAATACATGCAAATTCGTGAGGAGAACCTGTTGCAGTCAGCCAGAAATCAGTGTCTAATGCAAAATTTACAAATCTCAACAGGACAATGACCCAAAGCACAGGGCAACAACTACAAAGAAATGGCTTGAAAAAAAAAAGAAAGTTTGTGTTGAATCAAAAACCCAAACTTAAATCCAGTTGAAAATCTGTGGCATGACTTGAAAATTGCTATCCATCAAAATTCTCCATCTAATTTGGGTGATTTGGAGAAAATACCCAAATCAACATGTGCCAGAATTTGTGTGTGTTTGGCTCCATCCATGCTGCCCTTGATAGTGACAAGATTTTCAGTTCCTCCTGCTAAAAAGCAAACCATGATGAGACCTTGATGCTACCACCACCACCACCCTCGATGGCAGGAATCGTGTTACCTGGGTGACACAATTTAATTTAAAAAAATGTAAAATCTCTATGTGCAGACACACATGCAATCCCTACAGTCATTTGCTAATGACTCCCATTGATTGTCACATTTGGAGTTTGTAGCAGACAAGACATATTGATCTCAAACTTGGGTTGAGAAGGTGGGGGTGATAAAAACAGGAGGTCCTAGTGATTTTTTTTTTTAAACGGTCCAGGAGAATGAAAGTGCTGTGGTGCTCTTATGGTGCCCAGATGAAACTAGTTATCTCTATAATTGGTAAATACAGCTTTGTCATCATGACTGCATGCAGCACATTTGCCCTGTGTCCCAATACTATTTTCCACACACCTTTACCAGTTTCTCCATAGCCATTCTAAAGGGTTTTTCGTGTAATTTATTCACTTAAAATAATATTATTAAACAACCTCTTAGACTCTCAAAGAATTGAGTCATAATAACTGGACTTACAAGAGCAGAACTTGCCTATAACGCATTGAGATTTGATTTCCTTGTCAAGTGTAGTCAATCCGCCTACCTGCATGCTTTTGGACAGTGGGAGGAAACTGGAGAACCTAGAAGAAATCCATGCCAAAATGGGAAGAATTTGCAAAACTCTATGGAGACAGTATCCCGAGCTCAGGATCAGACCCAGGATCCTGGCGATTTGGGGCAGCACCACTACCTATTGCCCCATTTAATTTGTTCTATTCAGATTTTAGGTGTTTGGTTTCAGGTAGCCAGTTACATTGTCTATGCATTACAGATGATTCTAACTTTCTAAAGAGGGTTTACTTAGACCATTCTGTGAAAGCGAAACCCTTCTGCTGTCAGGTACTCGTGGGTTCTGTAGGCGGGTTCCGCCAGAGCAATAAAACCGATAAACTCTTGAGGGTGCTAGATGTAACCTTTTATATAAGAGAGTACATTGTGCTTACTGTCAAGTGTAATATGAAAAAGAAATACTCTCTATTAAGTCCTCTTGTCCGTGTGCTACTTGCGACTGTGTCATGTTCATAAGGGGAAGTCAA